ATCATTAATTTCTTTCAGACAGTGCACTGTATGTCAGAAGTATGGTAGCAAGCAGAACAACATGATGTATAAATCACCACAATCACTATACATCTCAGCCTGTGGAGAAGGACCCATATGTATCTCACATTTCAGGACAAAGATGTGTAGGATTTCACAGCTTTCTTTGGGGAGAAAATATCAGGACCCCACACAGGAGGAAATGTGAGAAAAGTGTATCTTCAAGTTATTCAAAAGGAGGTTTTTAAACATGTACACAGTAGGTCAGAAACTGGAATGCACATGTCGGTGGAACAACATTTTCCTCTTCAGCAGAACATTTATCACTTGCATACAGAGTTTTCAAAAGAGTTCAAGGGAATAATAAAGGGTTTGGTACAGAACTGCTGGAACTAAATGCTGTCATTTACCATGCTGTCGTCATATAAATCTCACCACCCAGCAAAATGAAAACTCTGGAGTTCAGACTCAAAGAAATAGAAAGGAAATTGTGCAGTAAATGCATGACCTGCAGAGATTTTCTTCCGAGTTCTTAAACACAAGTAACTGAGAGATATGAGACTTACAATGACAGAACATTATGCTCAAAGGTGATTCATTTTAATTAGGAAGATTCTTTGGTTTCACCTGGCTACCAGTGTTATTTTAGTGTCTGTTTCATATTATGTTAGGTCTGATCCTTCCTTGGCATGAATAATCAGGCAGTGTTTACACAGCTTAAAGCGTTCTACCAAAGCCACCTAACTGTAGGATGGAAATAAATGGCATTACAGTTGCAAGAAATCCAAGAAAGGAACACAACAAACTCATGAGGGATTTGTGCAACTAGAGCAAACACATAATAGAAACAAGTGTGTGTAATTAAAGCACAGTCACAAAGGAAATAAAAGAGACTCGGCTCTTGTCTATAATTGCTAAGGTGAAGACCTTTTCCACTTGTTTACATGTTGACAGAATGTTTACAAATATAATCTTAAACCATAAGTTAATTATACGTTTGTTACAGCTGCAGCAAGCATATAAAAATAAAATAAACTTGGCACACCAATGACTGAGCCAGGAGAAAGATGGTTGACTATGCTGTACCTGTTGGGAAGACTTAAGGTGTTATTCCAGGCTAGACATCAGCCCAGGGAGCAGCCCTCAGATAATGAAATAGTCATTAAGATAGCCATAACTGTAGCTTTTTAAATTTGGACATGTAGATCCTGAGACTGAAATCTCTACTCAGGCTATATTTTATAAAGCAGTACATTTGTTATGGGAAATGAGTGGAATCGAACACTGCTGAACTGAACAGGAACACTCCCACTTGCCCACTACAGACAGGATTGCACCCTTGTGGGTCTATGTGGGACTGGGCTACTCCAGCGGAAGTGCAGCAGAAGAGAGCTGCTAAAAGCTCTCCTTGGCTAGCTATAATTCAGTTTTGATCCTGCTCCTACACCTGGGCAGGTGCGCAGTTTTGAAGTCTGAGACAAGGAACCAGCTCTCTTACTGACAAGAGTGAAAATCCAAAGTGGTATCCGCAGAGCAGAAGCCCACAGATTCTGGGCAAATCTTTCAATTTAAGAAATAAATAAAATCTTTAGACTACAAAACCAAGAAATACTTAAAGATCTAAACATGACAGAAAACCCAAAAACCATGCTCCACTGTTATCTTAGGGCACAATCCAGCAAGGCACTTGGATATATGCTTAGCTTTAAGCACAGAATCAATCCTACTGAAGTTAAGCTTTGCTGGATATGGGATATCTTTTCTGAGTTGTATTACTTTTCAGTGTTAGTATGTTGGCAATTTCCAGATCACAGTGACAGTTTTCCCTCTTGCATCCACCACCAGCTTTCTTTTCACTCTTGAGCTGAACATTAACTTACACAACATTGTGACATACATCCCAAACTCAGCCAGCTAGCTTTTGCAATGGTTAGCACAACAAAATGGCTACCAAATTTTACAGACACTAACTGAACAGCTGCAACACTGAACTGTACTAATTGCAGAGAGCCAAGCAGAAATCACTCCTTCTCTTGATTGGAAAATGGCAAAATTTGTAGTGTTTTTTCTTGAGCAAATTTTTTCTTGTATAGATGTGAAAGGCACTAGTCTGCTATTACTCGGCAACAGCCTCCTGAACTACTGAGTTTTATCTGACATACAACAATTTGTCAATCAGCTCTTTCTTGGGCCATGCAGTTTATCTGCATGGCTTGATCTATAACTGCCATCTTTATTTATTTTAGCATATGGATAATGACTACCTAGGGACTCTTTAAACTACTTCATATGTTTATGTATCATCAAGGCCCTTATACAGCATTTAATAATTCTTTGGCAAACAATACATCCCTGGTCATGCAGTGGTGTCAGGGGAAAAATCCAACTAATGTTCATTATAACATGGCATGATACCTGTCTCATAGCAGAAGATGCATACGTGACCATCATGAAACGCAGCACTTGAGTTCAATACAAATTGTCTTGAAGTGGGTCTATGTTTTAGGGAGGGCTACAGATGATAGGAACAGCCATGCAATTTAAGGTATTACCTTCTGAGGCTGTTTCTTGCTACAACAGAATACACTAGTTTTCTAACGCAGGTGTTACTCAGCTTAGGCAGAATAATTCTTAATATTGTCTAAAGGATTCATGGCATTAGCAAACACAATTTCATGGATATTTGGCCTGGGGATCAGCTCTTCCTGAACAAATTGGTGCCCGCAGTATTCTGAAGTTGCCTGGCTCACAAATAGGAAGGTACAGCACAGTTTTCTAGGTCTGGCACTGTAAACGTCAATGCCCTCGTTACTGTCAATTCAGCTGATCACTAGGCACTCAAAACTAGATTTTGGGACTACTCTTCTGTTGTGTAAAGACATGTGAGCTGCCAGAAATGTGCAGAGAAGAGCTACTGTTTGCTCGGGGATAGCTAGCTCTCCGAGCCCACCCAACAGCAGAACATAGGGAAAAAAAAAACATTTACTCAGCCTCTCTGCTCATTTCAGCTTCATATCTAAACCATCACCACATTTTCAGCAGGCAACTGCCCTCCTGAAAGATAGCAGGGAAGAGAATAAGAATAGAGAGGGATACAGTGACACAGCAGCATGCTGCATCTTCACAGCCTTTCTGCAACAGAAGACTCAAAGGTGAACATAAATTCCATCTCCTCAGCTTCACACCACAGCAAAAATATGTCCTGAATGCCTGGAAATGGGGTCACTGTCATACTTGAGATCAGATGTGTTTACTGTCATGCTTGCCTATTCAAGAAAGCATTTTAGTAATGCTGTATTTGTTGTCATCCTTAAGATTGACTAGTTTAACTTCATAATTACTTAACTAAGGTGAAAATCCCTAAATGGATAGTAATACTGATCTTTGTAACGAAGTGTAAAGCAAATAAATATGTTGCTCTTTTTTCTTTAGGATTACATTGAAAGGATCTAATTAATAAAAAAAAAACAACAAAAAAACCCACTTCAACAGCAGAATACACTCTTTAATTTGTACCAAAACAATTTTAAAATAGCCTTAACTGTAAACACATTGCCTGGTTTAAACAGTATTCTGCATGTGAGCTAGTTAAACATAATTAATTCTCATACATGTCAAAATAAGGAACTTTGAGAAAGTGCTTATTTGCTAAGATTTTATAGTACATTCTCATTGACCCAATAATGGGATTTTTATACATAGTCTTAAGTGGAAAATATTGATATATTTAAAAATGCATCAACTGTTAGTTGATAGATTTGTTTTGGTTTATAAACATTAAAAAATTAAAAATCTATGTATAAAGTTAACTGTACTTCTTTAGAAACTTTATGTGGTAATTCACATACGGCTTTAAAATATTTTTAAAGTTTGGTAGCAATTCAAAATATGCTGTCTCAGTGATTTGCAATCATATGACTGCTACAATGTGGAACATCACCCATCATTTTCAATACTCTGGGACATATCTTGCTGTCACTTATACCCAGAGTCATTCTTTAGATCAGATTTATGCTGGTGGCAAGGATATCTAAACCTGGCTTCTACTGGGGGTTAAAAAGAAGTGTATCATGCTTCAAAACTTGCATGCAATCAAAACAAGGACCATATTCTCTTGACAGACTTGCTTTTGTCTAGGAGTTTCTTATCTGCACTGCGCAGTGTCAGACGCTCATCTTCATTAAGCTTCTAGGAATAAGTGTAAAATGGAGAAGAACACACCAGCTTCTTGACTGATGAAATAAGCTTCTTCCACCAATCAAATTAAATCATAATCAGGGTGGGGGTTTTTTGACAGAAAGTCCGTATTATGTTCAGATATTACACTAAGCTGATAACAATAACTGATAGTTACTGAGCACCCAGTTATACTTTATTTGTTTAGTTTCTTCTAAATTTACACAATGGGCTTACAAGGGCCAATGCAAAGTTCTTCTTGTGGTGTAATATTTCACAAATGTTAGTTTATATTTATGTATACAGCATTCCTCATTAATGGTAAAACATATTTTTCAAGTATGAATTTCTGCATGTAATTCTCTTCTTCAGTATGCAGATACTCATTCAGTGTGCATCATCACAAGTGATACAACATAGAACCATTTCCTCTTCTTTCTCTGCCACGTTGTTCATGTTCATTGAAAAGAGTGATAAATATTCAACACTGCCATCCAAAACTGTCAGTGCAGCTTATCTACAAGCAGAGCACCTGAAGGGGGAAATGATGTCCTCAACAGTGCATGCCGTGATATGTGTCTTGGACTTTCTAGTCCTGTAGTTGAGATATTTTAACTGAGCCAAGAAAAGTTCTGAACTTGCCTCTTATCCTTCCATGGAAAGTAAATGTCAAAACCAAAACAACTATAAAGTTTTCTTCTCCTGTCCTCTTGCTAACCATGGTGGTGGTTGATTGTCTGCAAAAGGAGAATGAAAACAACAAAAGAATGTCCCAGGAATGGGTCCTTTTAGAGTTCTGCATAAGATCCACACAGCTTTATGACTGAGCAGCAATATCCAAAGAGAAGGAAAATGCTTTGGTTGCCTTGAGCTAGCATGTTAAAAGAAAAGTATGCTTTCCTTCCACACAGGTAAAAGTGCTTGATAGCTGATGAAGCAGGAATGACACTCAAATTATTGATGGAAAGAAGGTAGAAATGTGAAATGCCTCCTGTCATTTACAGCATGTGTAATCAGTAGAATTTCAGTCTGTCTCCTTGTTGTAGTTTAAAGTTCTTCTCGGCACATAGGTAAGTTGACAAAGGTGAAGACATTAAACTCTATCAATATAGAGAAACACAGGAAAACAGCATAAAGAAACAAAACGTAGATGCCCAATTTCCTGTCAAGTTTCCACTTATTTACATGGATTCCAAACACCTGCAAGCAAACAAAGTGTGAGTTAATTAAGCCCCAAAGGAGACTTTTGGAAACAACCATTACAAGCTAAAAATCAGATTCTTTTGAATTGGATAAAAATATATGCTCAGTATTTTATAGATCAAAAAGACAACATATGTTTTTCTGATCAAGAAAAGGAATGTAAAAGCCCAAACTGAGACCTTGAACTCTGGTCTGACTCTCAGTTGTCCTAAATACTTTTACAAAATATTAAATGAAGACACTTTAAGGCCCCTTCACAAGTTCTTTGCATAGCTGAGAAACAGTCCCCTAGGTGCTCAGTTTCAGTCTGTGGTGCATTTTCAGTACATGGGGCATGTTCTAGTCAGGCAGCACTTTTATTGACTCAGTATGAACTATAAAAATGCACCAAACTACATGAATGCCTCTCCCCACAGCATTCCCCTGCAGATCCTTTATGTCCCAGTAGTACACCAGCACCTAATGTTCATTCTTTCAAGAGCTTCAGAAGAGGTGCTTTCCTTGATGTCTTGCTCAGGTCTAGAACTAAGGGGAGTTACAAGTTACAGGTAGCAAAGCAATGAAGTCTTCAGGAAGACATCTATTTTCAATGGTGTTAAGTGCCTCTGAATTATCATTTGTTTTGCTCAAAACTCGCCACTGAGTTTTGCTGGGAAGGTCTGTGCGAATCAGGGTATCCAGCAGAACAAATGAGACAATAGATGCTTCAAACTCAGGTGATACAGCTTCTGCTATGAAAAGACTCTTCACAGATAAGCATGAACAGCTAGCATAGCAACACATTGCATAATCATCCCACTTTTTTCCAAAGTGCTGATTACCAATATGCATGCAGCAACAGCAGATACAAATGTCTACAAAACATCTTTGTTGTTTCACAGGCACTGTACAGTATGGCAGAACTGGGGATAAGAAAAGAAAAGACAGGCCCCACAGCTTGTACATCAGATGCATTAGGAAGTTAGTGGCAGAGTGAACAGACCTCATCATTCTATCGCTTAAGTTGTGCACAGATGATGTGGAGTTTTGTAAGACCTAGTCATGCAACAGCGTGAAAACTCCAGTGATGATCTCCTTCTCTACAGAGCCTCTACAGAACCTCCACAGGCAATCAGTGAAAGACATTAGTATAAGTGGATATTTTTATACCTTTGGGATTTGATTCTTCCCACAGAAGGTTCCCTGGGAGTCAGCAGGATCAGACCTTAAGTACCAGCAAAATTGACTTTTGAAACAAAACTATTGCTTCATTTTAACAAGTCATATGTTACAAAGTAAGTGCCATATGCTGAGTGACATTTAGCATGCCTATTCAAAGCCCTGAGGTTCACAGTCCTCACAGGCTAGTCTTCACTAAGGGTTTTGTCTACAGAACATGATTAGTCCAGGCTGGTTTTGGAAATCAAGAGACAAGGGCGCAGAGTGATGAAGCACACCTGGGTCTTATCCCAGCATAATGTAGAGACAGGCCTGGGGTATGCAGCTGGACACAGAAACACGGAAGTATTATTGGATCCCATAGTTTCAACACTGCCACTGAAATCAACGGGACCAACACCGAATGTCAAATTTCAGTCCTCACTAAGGACAATGGTAGCTCTTCAACACATGGTATTGCTAGAAGAATGATACTTTACAAGGATCAATGCTTCAGGGGTGACAACTATTTCCATTTTATCCCTGTAACATGTAAATACCTAAGAAGTATTTTGCAATTGAAATACTTGGAGAGAGTCAAATACTCACAGTAAGTGCCACTGATCCTAGCAAAAGTGCAACTGAATAGACCAATCCTTTGCTGTTTATCTTAACCTGTGGGAGATACAACAGACATTTGAAATGCTCCGCATATAACTGTTTTGAATAGTGACTTACACATTTGAAACTATTCAAATCCAAACCAGATTTATCATAATGAAGAATGGGAAGATTAAGGAATCTAAACTAATGTATAAGTAATCCCACCCCCATTAAAAGAAAATAAATCAGCATTTATAAAAGATTTTATAATTTATAATGAAAGCATTTATAAAAGATATTAAAAAATATCATCAGGAGAGAGATACATGCTGTTATTCTCATCTTACAGACCAAAATACTGCAAGCACAGGGAGACAGGTGTGCTTCAAGCTGTGTAGTGAAAAAAATGACAGAGCATGAACAGATATCCATAGTGCTATTTTTCTGCTATGCAGTATAATGTGCTCCAATTGACAAACTGGGAATTAATTGCAGCTTGGTGAAGGAGAATTGCTTCCTTAACTCCTGGTTCCTCAGCAAAGCACACCTTATTTAGGAAGCAGTAACATGATCAGCAGGTTGTTGTTTGGCTGTTAAGTTTTTTTAAGATTTTATTTTCATGCCTTCCTTTTAGGACTTTTTTTTAAATACATGAAAAGAACAAATTAAAGATTTGCCAAGTACACATACAGTTGATCCACAATCAATCGCCATGGTCTGCAAACCCCACGGAACGCCAAGTCCCACCAGAATGTCAAAGACATTGCTCCCTATTGTGTTGGATACTGCCATGTCACCAAGACCTGCAGAGAAAAAAAACAACTCTTTGGTAAAAACAAAGTATAGGACCATTACTCTGTGTACTAGAGGAAACTAAGGGGGAATTATCTGCATTGATCCAAGCCCCTTGGACTGGCCAGAATATCTGGGATAGGGAGACAGTTTCCATAATCTCTGCACAACTTTTCAAAGAAGTATGCAAAAATTGCTCACTCTAACTATATCCTCCTTGTGTTTTGGATACCACACACCCAGGGAACCCGAGTTTAAAGCCGATTAGAAGAACAAGTCTTGTTCTAGGTAGTCTGCAACCACAGGGAACCTGGAGATTAGGTACTGGATTTAGTATGTGGACACATGGCTTTGTCTCATGTGAATGATGCAAAGTGATCCTGAAAAGAACTTAACCAGACAGTAGTCACAGACACTAAGCACTTCTGTGGGGCTTAACCAGTAATGATTTCACTTAAGGAACAATAAAATGCTACAGAAAAGATAAAAAATAAAAAAGACTGAATGGTAGTGAAGTCCCGAGGCATTAGTCAAAATTTACTCCTAAGACTCATCATTAGCTGGCAGCTCATTTTGCACTAGCGTCAACGGATGTGAGGAGGGCAGAATTCTTCTCTGCCCTTGTTTAATTTCCCTTAGGCACTGGCTTAACTATTGAATCACTTCCACAAAGTGAATACTGGAAAGGAAGAACTCTGATGTAAATGGGGCATGTCCCACAAATACTTTGAGAGCACACAGAGTGGAGACAGACACTAACACAGCAACCACCATATCCTCCTACAGGAAGCTGTTGACAGGAAGGTTATGCTTTGGATCCATACTATGGTAGTGTTCATCGATAGTTTTTAGATATCTGTCTGCAATCTGTCAGTAAACATCTCTCTTGAATCCAAGTAGTGCAAAGTCCCTGTACTGTCTTAAAAAGAATGTGTCTGCCTTTTGCCAAGCTAGTGTTTACCTTCACTTTCTGAGGAAAGAATCCCTACTGTACTTTTGCCTAATACTATAGGACAACTAATCTAAAGAAGCAGTCTGTTCATTTAAAAATGTAACACTTTTCCTTCTGTTCCTGCAAAAATATGTTCACTTTAATACTACGTTTGGAAAAATAATTTAGTAGGAAGGCGGTTCCATAAGAACACTTTTTTGTACTAGTTTTTGTGAGATTTTAACCTGGAAAATGAAGTATTTAAAATACAGAATTCTTTTCAAATTAAGCCACATTTAACAGCATAACTCCTACTACAAAGGCGGGGCATTTGAGTACTCAATTTGTCACTTCAGAACCCTTGTTGTTTACCCAACAATGTGTGCTGGAAATCTCATTCTCTAGAAAAAACAGACTACGGGAATTGAAATAGTGGAAAAGAATACAGTTAGGGCCTTTCCTTATTCTACTGCAATACAGGAGATCACACTGTCAGGTTTAATGTTTTTCAGCAACAGAAAGGGATGTTGCTACAGGTATTTCTCAAGCAAAAAAGGATGTGCAAATAACCTTAATCAAAACTTAAAGATGCATGAGAAACCCTTTGACAGTTTCAATTGCAAAGCTGATGAGGACATAGCTGATATTTATCTAAAACTCTCTCCAGCTACTCATATGTTTCAACGGGAAAGAGGCCTGCAAATGGATGAGAAGCATGCCTGAAGCAACATCACGTCTGCCAGATCCTCTTAAACCACTTCACTTCCCTGGGTTTGAGAGGTCTTCTAGAAAGTTTCACAGGGACAAGTCCTAGTCAGCATGTATTCTTCCATGTTGTTTTTAATAGCTGATACGCCTGTTTTGTCTACTACTTTTATCTTTTTACACTGACTGATACATACCATGCATTGAATATCTGAGTTTTGAATGACCTTCTACAACACTAGGGTGTGCCTAGTCCCAATAAGCAAAAGATAACAGGACAGGGATTATTTTTTTGGTTCATGCTAGAAGCCAAAACACTTTGCTGATTATCAAGGCCGTGAAACAGTAAAAATAAAAATAAAAGGAAAATACAGTAAAATTGCATTGAGAAATTGTGTGTACCGAGGAAGCAAATCACAGACCATACATGTAAGACTGCAGTTATGCTACAGCAGACAATACCTTGTCTTGCTACTATTAAGCTGGCCATACAGTCTGGGACGCTTGTTCCTGCGGCTAGGAAAGTAATGCCCATGATCACATCTGGTATCCCAAGTGTGTATCCAATCACAGTCACCTGAACAGTAAGGAAAAGAGATTAACCTATCACATTTGGGCAGTATCCTCATTCCAATATAGCTGTTGCATACTCTCTAACTTTGATTTCTGGTGTGGACCCTAACAGGATTAGACTCAGGATACTTATCCATTTCTGCAAATTAAATAATTACGGAATAACTAGGAAAAGTACACTGAAAAAGAAGAGTATGTTGGGTCATATGGAGCAAACAAAAACGTCCATTTTGTGTACTACTAACAGGACATACTGATCTTTTAAGGAGGTTCTGTTCTCAAAAGGACTGCAACCAGTTTATCTTGTAATACAGGGGCAGGGATATAAAGAATTTGTTTTACCCCAAAACACAAAGAAGGAACCAGTTTCTTGCATGACTTCTGATATAATCCCAAAGTAAGCAAGTCTGGTTATATTGTTCTCTGAGAGTTCAGATGCAGCTTTAAAACAGCTTAAGGAATAGCTGAAGCTCGTAGCAGAGTTCTTGGAAAGGACAGGGAATTGTATTTAGCTGGAACATTTGAAGAAGGCTGAAAAAGCATTAGGAAAAAAGGCAAAACAGGCAGCTGAAAAGGAAATAGCTTTGTGAGAGTGAGAAGACTGAATAAGGGTCAGCCAGCTGCTTCCCTGCTGAGACTGCTAAGAGTGGAACTCTTTAAGGCTCTGTTAGTTTGCCATTCTCTTTCAAGAGAAAAACTGGACCCCTCACCAAAGAAAAGAAGTATTTTAGGAGCCTCCTCACAAACCTTATTCACAGGGGCCAGTTGTGACTCAGAAACAGGAGTAGGCATGACTTCCCTGCTGCAAGTGAAAATGGGGTATTAAGGTCTGGCTGCTTCTTATAATAAGCTGTGTTGCAGCCTTCATGAGCATCTCTCTCATTTGTTAAGGGGACCTCTAGAATGGAGCCAAGGTACAGACCATGTCCTTGCAAAGGACATACGGTATGAAATGAATGTGTGGCTTTGGCACCATTATTCCAGGCAGAATGAGTGGCTGCATATGAATTTCTCTAACAGTCTATGTTAAGAGAAAAGAGGACTAATTTACAATGCAAAACTTACATAGGAAGTTGCAAAAGTATATTGAAAACACAATCTTGCATGAGAGGAAACATAAAAATAAAGCAGTTTGCAAATGCCTGAGGAAGGTAGAGATGTTCTCTACTCCAAAATGATTTTGCAGTTAAGAAGCTCAGGAACAAAAATTCTTCCATATGCATGGCTAGAAGAGTGTGTGTGTGTGTGTGTGTATACATATATATGACTATGGGTGTATGTATATGTGACTATATTTTCCAATATGAAACCAGATGAAGGTTTCTTCACTGTATTTTCATTTAAAAAGAAGAATGGGCATATAAATTCTTCAGCAGCACATTTGACCAATCTTCCAGTTATAGGTATATACAACTTTTCGGTTTTCTACTTTTTAGTGTAGAAAATGGCAACTTTCTGTACTTCAAAACTGTATCTATTTTTTTCCATCACAGAAACTATTTGAGGAGCTCTCCTATTCATGCCTCTTCTCTGAATGAAAATGTAAACCTGAGAAACTGAAAGAGGCTAAGGAAAAACAAAAACCCCGAAACCAAACTTACTCAAACCTTCAAGTAAGTGTGCTCCTGAACTCACAACAATTTACAGATCACCTGATACACTGCAAAATTTCTAAAGAAGTCTCAAACTGCTGAGAGTTAAACATTTTCATCTAAACTCCCTTTTACTAGTAGGATGTGGATGTCCACATTCTCTTGACAATCATGCTGGCACCTTCCTGTACTGTAACGGGCCATATACAGTAAAGGCCAAATTACTTGTGCAGAATGGGGCAGCAGAAAGCTGGAATTATAATAATTACAGTATATGCTGAAGACACTGCACTGCAATTACATGCCTTTCTTTTAAAACAAATACACAAAAAATCTATAACCTATTTTGAGATGCACATTTCACTCAGTATGGGACATCCTGCTATATGTATGCACCTACCATCCACACCATGAAGTATGAGAACAACGCGATCCAGAGAGTAGATAAGATGAACGTCACCATAAAACACCTCTCCCAGCGTGGTTTGCTGCAGTTTGGAATGGTGCAAAAGAGCACGAATATCAACGGCCATGTTACAATCCATTTAACTTTGTTCATTTTTCCATCTGTAGGACAAAGAAATAACAAGTTTAACTTTCCCATCATTATCCCACACCAAGTTATACTTCTCTGAACACAGCAGATGATCCCAGAAGGATGTTTACAACTGTGCATGTCAGCTCATTTTCCAGTATATCTTTCATCTGTACTTGGTCTTGGCACTCTCAGCCAAGCTCTGCATGCACATCCAGAATCTTACAGTTAAGCCTGACAAGGTCTACGCAAATCCATGAAAGAGTAATGAGTGGTGTCCCTGAGGGATTGGTGTTGGGACCTGTCTTGTTCAACATCTTTGTCAGTGACACGGACAGTGGGATTGAGCGCACCCTCAGCAAATTTGCCAATGACACCAAACTGTGTGGTTCGGTTGATACACTGGAGAGAAGGGATGCC